CTGAAGTAAATTACACTGAGACACTGGTATCAGGTTAATGAAAAACTTTGGAATGTTTACTCAGGAGGCGGCAAGCCCCTTATAAAGGCAAAAATACATCATATGCAAAAATGTAGATAAGAGAGAGAATACATCTTTAATTGGTTAGGTGTTAAGTGTCTTATCTAATGCACATCCTACGAGGCGTGATGTCACCATCATCCCGGGATTTTACTCCGGATGTAGGCGCCATCTTGTTACACGAGGTAGTTAGTTGGTGGGAGGGGGTGCTCTAGCAGCCATTTTGAGTAGATATTGAATACAGGTATACACAGTAAATAGACATTTTACTATCACTAATTTACATTCATAACACAGAAATGAAGAATAACCCTCCCCTTATACAAATAATACGAACAGCCCACATACAAACATACACACAATCTGCACAAACATAACCCGCTAACAATCCACATACATGCACACAATCCCACATGCAGCCTCTCACATACAATACCCCAAACAGCCCACACACACTACCAAACACACAATGTGACATATCCATCCACACACAATTCAACAAGCAGCCCTCATACACAGCCCACATTCATATGTATCATACACGATACCATAAACTACTAATGAACATATTCAATAGCTCATGTACGCACAAATACAACGATGCAAAGCAACTGCAGTAAAAATAACACAAGCAGAATACGGCAGCATACACACCTCAATTTAAAAAAAAAATAGGATTGGCACGCTACGGGACATCACAATCCTATATCGGCACAGTGCTGCTAAAAGGTTGCCTACCCCTGCCCTAAATGATTATCCATTAACCTCTCAAATTACATTGGATGAGACAGCATGTGGCCTTTTTAGAAAACAGGATTAATGCAATTTTGCACAACCTATCTATCCAGCAAATAGTATTCTTTTTAATCAAACATAAAAGCTGGTCACTAAACAATATGACATATACCTGGGAAATATCCAAATAGCAATATTTTATGTAAAAAATAAATACAGTGGAGTAGGCTAAAATAGCCAAGCTGTGACTGTAGCGGAGTTGAAGAGTTTTTCCACAACAGTGCATTTTTCAGAAATTTTGCATTACAAAGGGTTATTTACTAAAGTGAGAATTTAAAGTGAATTTCAAATTTAAGGTCAAAATAGTTGAATTGGAAAAATGATGTAACTCAGCTATGCTTCCAGTTCAGCTACTTTGGCTTTGAATTTGAGATTCACTGTGTTTTCACCTTTTTAATTCTCATCTTCACATGACACTGTTAGTTTTCAATTCATATCAATTCAGTAGTTAGTGAACAAACCCTAATGTTTGGCAAAAACAAATAAAGTAAAACAGAACTGTATTGGTCCTTCTCCGTTTTCCAATAAACCCGTGCCCCCATATTGGTCGCCAGGCTATTTAATAAAAGCAATCTGAATAGGGACCTGCTATTGCAAATAATTAATCTGCCATCAGTAGTGCCAGGAATGCAGCTTTGTATACAGTATCCCTTTAACAGGGATGAATTTGAAATTGCCAGAACCGAATTGTCACTAATTCCCGGAATCAAGTATATCAACTTGGCTATTTACTACAAACTGTGCAAGGCTTTTCTAAAACATGACTGCTGACGCAACCAGTCCCCAACCAAAACCCGTTGCCCCCCAATAATACACGTGACACCTCATTCTTGTGGATAAGGGTAACGGCCACAGCTTTATTTAATATAACAATTTTAACTCAGTCCAACTCTGCCAGCTGTTGGGTGTTTCCCAACAGGCAGTTCTCCCACATTCTGTACCATGAGCCTCGACAGCCGGCTCCTCGCCATCAGCTCCGTGCAGGCTGTCGTCTCCCCAAAGTTTCTTTTTTCTTCTGCGCTGTCCAGGGAAACCCGCCAAGCTGTGACAACACAAAGAACAAGAAACAAGACACCAGCCACAACACCAGAAACAGGGTGGGAGGGTGGGAAAACAGTCAGGAGCCCTAAACTGAGCCTGCTGACTGGTAAGTCCCCTCCCTCTCCCTTTCCTTAAGAACCACAACTTTAGACACAAATGTATCTACATTAACCCAGCCCACAATCTTGGGCAGCAGTCATGCTCCCACCTCATTATTGTTCCAGTGGGAAACTTTTCAGTTTGTATTACAACACTGACAACAATAGCATTAAAATAAATAAAATTCCTTACTAACCATGAATGATTTGGGAATCATACCATATTTTCAATAGTAGTTACTATTATAATGAACTAGTTATCATGACTAGGGAGAATGGAAGGATCCTAGGGCTATTATATCCTCATGGTATACCAGATGTCATGATGATTAATTCAGACTTCTCACTCTATAAGTAGCGTGAAAAGAGTTTGTGTTGTATTGAATTAGGGTTCTAAAACTTCCTTCTTCTACCCCTATCCCTGTGCTGATACATACAGGCAAAGTGTTGAATGGTTCAAGAACCACATCCATTTGTCTTAGGTACAGCTACCCCAACCCACTATAGTGCCCATAAATCTAACCAGGCCTATAGTGAGAGAAAATGATCAGTCTGCTAAAATTAGCCCCTTAAGGACTGAGGCCATTGTACGAGTTGTGATCTAAACAAAACGTGAATAAAACTTTGAATTTGCGCTATATGTCTGTTTAACCAGAATTTATCCATAATAAATTCACACACACTTATTATATATAATTTTGTTCAGGAGAAACCGGGCTTTTATGTCATATCAAAGATTTATATATAAAACATAATTTAATGTTATATAGTGTTTACGCTATTTATATGACTGCTTTTTGATTTTTTTCCTTTTCTTCTCATAATTTAGTTGTCACTTCCTCCTAGTCAACATTCTTTTTAAGTCGACTGTCATTACATAAGAGCAAATCACTTTTGAGGAGACTCCTAGATTAATCTTTCTTCAATTCATTTAATTGGTATTGTTTTCTGCTATTTAGTGTTTAGTGCAAGTGTAGCTCAGCTATAACTTTTAGCTTTTGACCAATCTAACATTAGTCTGGTCAACGAATGAATGGTTTAAAATAAACAACCCAAAAGAACAATACCAAACAAACAGAAAGCACTTATTCAAAAGTTGACGTTAATTAGATAGAGCTTGTTTTGTTTTTTTGTTTTTTTTTATATTAAGATCTCTTTCATGGTAAAGCAAATTATATGTTAGCCATAAGCATGCTTTGGAATAATACTCATATAAAAGCTCTGTATTCAAGCACTTTACAGGTCAGATAGAAAAGCAATAAATAAGTAAATAGAAAAAAAAAAAATAGAAGCTATGTTTGACTAATGTTTTATCCATTCATGATGCATATGGTTAAAGCAGACTGAAAACAATGTAGATTGTGAATGTAACTCATACATTTTACACAGGTACAAAATCACTGACATTACCATATGAAAATCAAGCTCAACATCTGGAAAGCTAGGTCTTACTTAGGAAAACATGACAAAATTGGATTGACATTAACTTAATGGTTATGGTTTTTGGAGTGTTCCTCCTTTAACAATAGCATATTTGCAATTACTCAGCTAAAATAGTCAGAGGGTGGAAGGGTAAGCTATAAATAGACATTTGAACACATCTCATGATAGTTGAGGAGGTCCAACAAGAGAATGGTACATATCAACAATAGCAAATATCTCCCAAGTGCTAATTGGGTAAGTAATGCCACAATGATAGAAGAATGGAACTTGTGTCAAAGGAGAAAAAAAATATGACAATTATGCAATCCCATTTACAACCAAATCCAAGAATGTCCTCCGTCAGTTGTTAGTGGACACCTAGAATGGAAAGGGAGAGAAGGAGAAAAGTCATGGAAAAAAATAACCTAACGGGTTGTTGGTAAACGTATCATAATCAGGCAACTACTACAGTATGTGTCTAAGACGGAAGACTAAGTTAAATATCTGCAAAATTCATAAAAACAATGCAAACAGACCATTGTTTAGTCATTTTATAAGAAAATCTATTGAAATGTTAGACTAAAATAGCCCACAGCATGTTTAGTATGTGTGAATGTCATGCAACAGCACATTTATTTAGTTCTGCAGACAAAAACTGATAGAGGAATTTTTTTTAGCTTAAACCAAGCCCCTCATGACCTCAAGACAATACACAAAGCCTTAGCAGGAAGTGTATTACTGTAATGCATGGCTAATTTTAATAAAGTGAACTAAGCAGTATGGCCAAGCAAAAGGCACAGTAACCAATCAAAAGTTAATGAAGCATGCAGCCAGACGCAGTTCTATTTAATTTATAACCTAAGGTGCTTTGATGTTTTGAAGAAAGCACTTCCACCCCTGCTAATTCTAATATAAGCTTACCTGCTCAGACATCAGAGAATGGTACTGGAAGTAAAAATTGAGCACTAAGCAAATTGACTGTCACTTAAATTAACTCATTCACATCGCAAAGAGTAAACCATAGACGATATTGGAGAATTTTATTGTATATTAAGACTTTCCTAAAGAGGATGGCTTAAGCAAACTGCCTTAGTGAATTATTGATTATTCAATTCAGCAAACAGCCATATAGAGAATATGGATCTTTTCATAATTTGTGTGCTAAAAAAAGTATTTCTTTCCAAACTATTTAATATATTTTCCATAGTAACTATAACAAAATACAATCTAAACAATAAAAATGAGGGACTACAAATGACAATTATCATATAATAAGAAATAGTGAATGTTCAAGCAATCATTTTTTACTTAAATAAAATAATACATTTACAAAAAGAAAATGCCTTGTGTAGCGGATGGCACTGGGCTGTCCTGAGAATTTCATGTATTTGAATGCATTTGTGTGAAAACAGAAAAGTTCTATGTATTTAATGTATTGTATTCGTCTGAATGTTAGGTAGTTTCATTCCCTTAGTTTGTTCGAATCAAACTACCGAACAGTCAGACCTCCCCTGTGTGAAGTGTGTCTTCAATTACCCATTGCAACATTGTTGCGAACGGGTAATTGACAAGCTAAGTAGCCGTCCTTTGTTCTCGGGGGTGGCCGCCATTCGAAAAACGAACACGTGGCGGCGGCCATTTTAAAACTCCCGAACAGCGGTGTTTTGCCGTCGAGTGTCTGGAACTCAAATCGGACACTCGACTAGGCGAACACCGCTGAAACCTCCACAAGCCCGGTCCGTTCGGTTCCCAACTACCGAACGGCCCCTCGTTCGGTAGATAGAAAGAACCGAACGAGGGGATTCAGGCGAACCCTCCCTAGCCTCTGTAGCTAGAGGCTTTCGTGCCGTTTATTCCCTGACTCCAGGACCGACCGCAGGGCCCATTCACATGGAACCTCATTCGGCTGTTCTATCCAGTGCGGTCGGTCATTTTATTCCCTCCATAAATTTCCCGAACCCCTGGTCTGATCTGGGTGATTTTTGGATATGTTGTTCACCCAGATCAGGGCTACCAGGGGATGTATGATTTAAAGTGGTACCCCTAAGTTTAGGGGTACATCCAGAAACGGGGGGAATTGGTGTGCTGGATAAGGGGATTATGATGCAGGCTGAGGGGAGGAGATGTGTGGGAGGTTACCAGAGCAGGATTGGCTACTGTACTAATGAATGAAAATCCCTCCCTTGCATGGGAGCAGGCTTTAAAAGGCCACTGTCTGAATAAACCTTGAGTTCTGCTCCTGAAACTGTGTGTCGTCCAGTTATTGGGATTGCTGTTGGGATACTGCTGTGTTATTTTGCCTGCTGGATACTTTACCCTATGGATTTATAATTGCTTGTTCCTGAACCTCCCTGGGATCCAAAGTGGAGATAGGCTGTGTAATACCAGCTCTCCGCTACACCTTGTGTCTTTCTTTATATACGGTGTAAGTTATAAAAGTTTTTTAAAGTAGAACTGCCACAATTTTTGTTTTAATACTGTGCATTATATTCTGTTTTAGTACTGTACACTCCTTTTTTTTCATTGCATTTAAGGTAACTCCAACATATGGGTAAGTAACAGACAATACAGGTAAGGTGGCTTCATTTGCGTAACTCCTGATGCAAGTAACCTTTTGCTTCCTTGCAAATAATGTCTACTTAAGTTCCTCCAGTGACATTAAACCAGGCTTCCCTAAACTCCGACCCTCCAGATGTTGCTGAACTACAACTTTAATGAAATAGGCTGAGAATAATGGGAGTTGTAGTTCAACAACATGTGGAGGGTCGGAGTTTGGGGAAGCCTGCATTAGACTAATAATACACATATATATTTTTTTTCTTTTTTGCAAAATGACCCATTTAATATTATCGGTGCTATACAATACATATGACATGATTGGTGTTAGTTGGAACTGTTCACTTATTTGATTAAGGAATTTCATTGTGAAGTGACATATAGTGAATGAAAACACATCTCACCGGTTCAATAATTCTTTCACAAAGCTGTGTGTCAGCGTATTCCACTGTTGCTAGTTTTCTTCTTTCTTAGCTATATCCCTCCCCAATGGCTACTTCTGGGAGCTACAATCTGAAAGCTATGCTTTCTATAGTAAGGGGACATTTTCAATATCTCAATATGTTATAAAAAGAAAAGACACCGTAAAGGAGGCTTAGCACGTTTGAGATCCATTTCATCTCTTCAATAGCAATGACCTCTTACTTAGACATATTGCAGTGTGTCAAAAACACAGCGGCATCTCTGAACTCTTCATTCTGTAGCAAACTGGTTTACTGAAAATGATCTGAATGACTGTAACAATAACAGTAAACAGAAAAATGCCCTCAAGGTATTCATTTCCCCCTCTGGCTACACCAGACTACGAAAGGAACAATTTTATATGATCTGCTATATTATATCAGTTGAAGAATGTAAGCTCTCATGAGCAAAGTTTTTGGGGGGAGGTCAAGCAAGTCCGTGCGAGTGAACACTATACAATGCCTACCTAGTTTAGACTGATTAATAAAGGGTATGCCAAATGTGACAACATTTAAATAAACCAACAAAAAAACACCTTTTTACCTAAATGGAAACTATTGATATCATCGATTTAGATTAACAACTGCAATTTTTTATTTTATTTATTCAATTAATTAAATGTAGGTGTTGGTTTCATTTTGTATTTGTGAATTGCGGGGTATGATTGGGTGACTCGGTTTGCTTTAATATGGGTGTTTCCTGGTTGTTCTGTAGCAAGGTGTATGGGTTTGTATTGCCACTAGTGTACTGCAATTCTCACTACATACCACACGGGAGGATTTGACACACTAGTGGAAAGAATTGCTCCCTTTTTCTTTTGAGGGATTTTATACTTGTCTATTAGGTAGATGATAACCATAGACTTGGCACACCCCTTATAATGTTAATATTATTATTGTTATTATTATTATTATTATTATTATCATTAACATTTATATAGCACCAACAAAATCCATAGTGCTTTACAATATTATAAGCGTTAAATTGATTTTATTTGGAGATGTGAAAAAAAAAATCAATGACACTTTATTTTAACCCCTTCAGGACCGAGGACGGTTCAGGACCATCATCGGCATTTTAGCATCGCCAACCGTGGACGGTTCTGAACCGTCCTAACATTGTAATGTACTTACCCGATCGCTGTTGTTCCCCCGGCGGTGATCGGTGGTGCTCCCGGTGTGGCAGATTAGGATAGAGCGATCACATGGTCACAGTAGGTGTCCATGTGTCTGCCTGCAGGGGGACTGCCTGTGCTGACAGGCAGTCTCCCTGCTAGTGTAAAAAAAAATTAAAGGTACATGTTAATAAAACAAAAGAAATTATATATGTGTATATATACATATGATATATAGATATATATTATATCCATATAATATATGTCTATATATCATATAGCTTATGTCATACTAAGTGTATTTTTATATTAATATCACCCATTGTACAGCTCTACGGAATTTGATGGCGCTATATAAATAATAAAAATAATAATAAAATAATAATGTACATATATTAATATAAAAATACACTTATAATTAAATTACACATGTATATATAATATGTATATATATATATATATATAACAATATATATTGTATATATATATTATTATAAAATACAAATAATAAGTAATTTAAATTAAATAAAAACATTTAAAAATAATAATATTTTTTTTTAAATTATATATCTATATGAAATTTTATTCTAACTGTATTTTGATATTAATATATATATATATATATATATATATATATATTTAAATCAAAATACACTTAGATTGAAATTGTATATATATCTATGTATACATATAGAAATAAAAATAATACGAAATATACATATGTCCATATACAAAATTACATAAATAATTGTATAAATATACACGTAGACTTCAAATATATAAATATGCATATATATTTAAATTCTACGTACATATTTATGTAATATTTTTACATAATTAAGTAATTTTATTGATTGCAATTTGAGGGACCTGCCTGCCAACCCAGGCTGAATGCTAACTTTGGCCAGTGTTTGCGACTAAGTGGCTACTAAAAAAGACTGGACATACCCCATATTGAATACCCTGGGTTGTCTGCTTTAAAAAAAAATATCTACATGTGGGGTGTTATTCAGAGATTTATGACAGATAATAGTGTTACAATGTCACTATTGATACATTTTAAAAATGTATGCTTTGAAACCGCAATATCCTACTTGTACCTATAGCCCCATAACTTGCAAAAAAAAGCAAAAAAGCATGTAAACACTGGGTATTTTTAAACTCAGGACAAAATTTTGAATCTATTTAGCAGTTTTTTTCATTTGCTTTTGTAGATGAGTAAAAGATTTTTCAAGTAAAAGTAAAAATTTTGTATTTTTTTCAATTTTTCATCATTTTTTTATTTTTTTTTAATTAAATTACATGAGATTATATAAAAGCCCTTTTTGTCCTGAAAAAAACAATATATGATTATAATATAATATAACAATATATAATTTGTATGGGAACAGTAAATGAGAGAGCGGAAAATTACAACTAAACAAAAACACCACAAAAGTGTAAAAAGGGGCCTGGTCGCAAATGTACAACATCGCAAAAACAGTCCAGTCCTTAAGGGGTTAAGCAGGCTCTCAAGGACTAACATTACCTCTTAACACTAATCTCTCTATTTTTAATCTTTGCTTGTTTTTAACAGACAAACAATTGAAAAATCATACATGGTTATTCACAAAAAATTATGGATAACTGCAATTTATATTTATAGATGAATTGCAGAAATCCTCACATTTGTTTTTTTTTGAGAACCCCAAAATTTTTTTATTTTTTTTTCATATTTGCTATTGGATTTTTTTTGCATGTCAAAGCCATACACAATAACACTAAATTTCATGAAACTTCATGGCCTCTGCTTAAACAACATTTTATTAAAAAATAATGCTAAAGTATTTAACCATGAAAGGTCTATATTTAGTGTGTTTTTTGTTTCCATTCACATCCTTGGGTCTCAATGTTATTTTTGTTGTTGTTGCTATTTTCAGTTGTTGACTTGCTGGAGAAAATGTGAGAATGCACATATATTCACAAAGCCTGCAGCAAAGACCCCAGTCCCAACTTCAGCTTTGAGGATTTTTACACGATCCAAAAGACTTAATTGGAGCCAGGTGTTTTGCGTCACCTTCACTTTATTGTAGTATTTTTCTAATAAAAGCAGCAAGAGATAGCTTAAGTGGATGAATGTCAACTTTTTATAGCATTTAATTGTAGATTGAGGTGCATAATATAATCTATACATTTGCTCATGTATTCTTTAGCCCAGAATTATCAGTAGGTTTAATTTTAACTCATTTAATTTGGACACTTTCATTTGCACATTTGGAGATCATAGATATACAAAATATATATGGACAAACATATTGCCACACACTCCCTAATTATTGAATTGAGGTGTTTCAATCAGACCCATTGCCATAGGTGTATAAAATCAAGCACCTAGCCATGCAGTCTGCATTTACAAATATTTGTGAAAAAAATGGGTTGTTCTGAAGAGCTTAGTGAATTCAAACGTCGTACCGTGACAGGATACCACCTTTGCAATAAGTCAGTTTGGGAAATGTCATCCCTGCTAGATATTCCACAGTCACCTGTAAGTGGTTATATTCACAAGTGGAAGCTTTTAAGAACATCAGCAACTCAGCCATGAAGTGGAAGACTATATAAAGTCACAAAGTGGGGTTACCGGGTACTGAGACACAAGGTGCATAAAAGTCACCAATGCTCTGCAGCTTCCATAACTAAAGAGTTCTAAATTTCCACTGGCATTAATATCAGTGCAAAAACTGTGCAGTGGGAGCTTAATGGAATGGGTTTCCATGGCCAACCAACTGCATGCAAGTCTCACATTACCAAGCACAGTGCCAAGTGTTGGATCGAGTGGTGTAAAGCACACCACTATTGGATCAGTGAAAATGTGTTTGGAATGACTCATCATACTTCTCAGAATACCCTTTGATCCGTTTTTTGCTCTCCATCATGCTTCTCTGTTTGACAGTCTGATGGGTGAGTCTGTATTTGGTGGATGCCAAGAGAACCTGCCTGACTGCATTGTGCCAACTGTAATGTTTGGTAGAGGAGGGATAATAGTATGGGGCTGTTTTTCAGGGGTTGGGCTAGACTCCTTACTTCCAGTGAAGGGATATCTCAATGCTTCAGCATACCAAGACATTTTGGACAATGCTATGCTTCTAACTTTGTGGTAACAGTTTGGGGAAGGCCCTTTTCTATTCCAGTATGACTGTGCCCCAGTGCACAAAGCAATGTCCAAGGTTGGATAAGTTTGGTGTAGAAGAACTCGCCCTCACACAGAACCTTGGCCTCAATCCCATCGGACACCTTTGAGATGAACTGGAATGGAGATTGCAAGCCAGACCTTCTCATCCAACAAAGTCCCACAAGTTTCCACAAAAATAAATCTTCTGGAAAGCCTTCCCAGAAGGGTAGAAACTGCTACACCTGTAAAGGCTGAACCAACTACATATTAATGTCTATGTATGTAGAAGGGAATAAAAACACGCATAAAAGACTCTATTGGAATAATGGTCAGGTGTCCCAATACTTTTGTCCATATAGTGTGTGTGTGTGTGTGTGTGTGTGTGTGTGTGGTTAAGAGCCTATAGCATTTGTACTTACAAATACCTGAGTTTACAAATACCTGCATTACTACTAGGGTTCTCTTAAAGCTAGTTGCTGATGTTACATAGTTGTATAGTACTCTAGGTTAAAAAAAAAGAATAAAGTCTATAAATGTAAACTGTGGAACACATTTGTTCCTGCTGCTTCAACCACATTTAATGTATTAGTGGCTTGTGGGTTCCTTATTCCAAAATGCATGACTTTGCATTTGTCTATATTGAATCTCTTATGCCACTTGCCTGCCCAGACCCCAATTTATCCAAATCCCTATATTGTCCATGATACATTTCTTCTGACATGCCAAAATTATCAATATAATGTATTGTTTCCTATCTAACTTCTGTAAATAATATTAGGTTTCATAATATTTTTACAACAATGAAGAGTTTTACAATAAGTCACATAATATTACTATTGACATTGGAATGTATGGTTCTGAGATAGGCATGGATAGCAAAATTAAAAGACAGTACAAAGTTCAATCTAGACGATCAACAAAAATGCAATATATAACTTATACTTTGATTCTAGGTTTTATGGTTTGCTTATATGTTTCTAATGTTGGTATGATTAATATGCTTTTTAGAATAATACTGACTGTATTATATTAGTCCAGTTTGATGCCACTGAAATCTAACACAATATATCAATGATCATCTTTTTTATAATGTTCCAATGGCTAATGCCTTTTAGCTAATGGCTAATGGCTATTTGATTGTGTTTTCTATATATCAATACAAGAAAAGGAATCTGCAAACTTATAACATGTAGACCTTGGTGCTACCAGACATAGGGCTGGCTTACCCTTATCCATGTGGTAGAAAACAGTATGGCCCATGCACTCAAGTCCACTTGTGCAGCAGTTTTATTGAAATAACAGGCAAATTAAGCAACTTAACTTTGTGTTTTCTATTTAGTCTTTTTTTGATAATATTTCTAGTGAACAATGTAAAATGCTGTGGAAAGAGTCCTGCAAAATGTATTATCCATTATTTATTTATTTATTTATTTATTACTGCTATTTATAAAGTGCCAACAGATTCCGCAGCACTGTACAATTAGTGGAAAAACGTACAATATACACAGACAAATACAAGAGGTAGAGAGAGCCATGCCAATAACTTGATATCTATCCATTGGAGCTCTTTTGTACAAAGTGCTTGGCTAGATGGCCCATGAGCTTACAATCTAAAAGATACCATTAGAATGGAGAGACTAGCTTACACATACATTGAGGCATGTAAGAGGCTCTTGTAGAACCTTTTACTGTAAGTGCAGCTCCAATTATTAGATCAGCTTGATATAGCTTTGCTAACCACAGATATACAGATATACACTACAATCAAACACACACCAAACATCAAATGGGCAAACATGCACTTGCAATTAGCAGTCCAGGCTAAAAGTGTTATTCGAAAAATTCTTAAAGCATCTGTCCAGATGTCTAAATAAAACATAATCACCATACTTATTTTGATGTAAGTTAATTTCCTGTTCCGTCTGCTTTCCTTTGATAGATGTCCTTATTGTCAAAGCGAAATACAAACTACAAGTAATTGATTGGTTTCAAAATTGTCCAAGATGATACAAGACCATACTTTATCTTTATCAGAGGGAGGCAATCCATCAGATTTCAATTTAACTATGAGTGAGTTTGTTCAATATCTTCTTCTCATGTGCTGAATTTGTTCTTTCAATACTCTCTGTTTAGAAACTTCCAAAGCACTGGCCTTTCACTTGTCATTGGTCTGCATTTCTACAATTCCCTAAACTTTTTAGCATCTGACAAATATATATATTCCCAAAAAAAGAGTCCACTTAATTTTTTTTTTATTTTTTTTTAAGTGTATTTCAAAGTAAATACAGAACATGTGTAGTTCACGTTTTGGCCTCTAGGGCCTTTCTTAAGAAGCCAAAACGTCGACTATGCTTGTTTTGTATTAACTTTGAAATAAACTTTTTTAGATCTGTGAGTGCACTCATATATTTTAGATCATTTGGATTTTGCTGAAGGTTAGCTCCGTGGGTTAGCTTATTTATTTATCAAAGCTTGGAGTGTCAAACAAGTTTTGTTTTGTTTTTTCAGTTTTTCTCATAATAACATTCAGTTATGAAGCACACTGTGTAGATTGATTTTCTATACTGAGGACTTATAAGGTCATCAATTATAGCAAAAAATAAACACATATCAATAAATAAATAAATAAATAAATATTGGTGACCAGCCAAATGGAATGTGATTACACAATAAATTGCTAATAAGCCAAGGATGTATTTGCCTACTACATATTAGACAAGATCAATACTCTGATCCTTTAAAAATTTACAGCAGCATACTGCTAATTAACTAGTCATATATGTTAGAGAGCTTTAGGGAGCTAACCAATTGCTCTCACTACTGATTTGGGATGAATCTGGCAAGGAGTCAGGAATACCCTACCATTAATTTATTTGACTTTTGTTATATGTTTCCTGGTTTATGGTAAGAGGCTCTGGAGTTTTAATGTAAGCAATTGACTAAGTCTATGCAAATAATTTATGTGAATTGTCTGTTGTATAGTATTTTACCCAAGGTTATATTCACATTTTTAAAGAATGTCTTGTGAAGAGTAAAACTAGCCCCTTACTGAGTAAGAGCGATGGATGTGTTTTTTTTTTTTTTCTTATTGCCTATTTTTTAGTTTTATTTTAATTCTTTATTTTTGTTGTGTATGTTGAAAAACAAAGATTGCACGATACACACTAAGATAACAAAGAATTGGTTTTGTCAGATATAATAAGTGTACATATAAATCAGCACTTTTTAAAATAATATATGAAGGACTAGAAAAGCATAGTGCAAATTCAAGTAGTCGTTGGAATAAAACTTGAGTAACATGTGAGGTCTACAGATAGGTAAGTAATAAGTGATAGACCACCAGGTTTGTGGCAAATTTACTATGGCAATAGTAAGTAAAATAAGAGTGGTATAACCAGAGGCAAAATCTAACGCATAAAGCAAAGTAAAAAGCGAAAACTAAAACTTCTTTGAATAATAACTGAATAAGATAGACTTAAAATGAATCATTGATACTGCTTCACCACAGGTATGCCTCAATTGTGAACCGGTTCTGCTTCAAATCACATATCGCCAGATGATTTTCATTTTACTACCCACCCACACTACCCACTACCCACCCACATATGAGGATCTCATAGATTGTGAGTATTCATATGGTGGTACGTCAGTTTCTCCACTTACCAAGCACAGGTCGGTGTATGAGCTGGTGCCTGTATGGCCTAAAGCCCTCCAGTTCTATTGGTAGGGCTGCTGTTCTGCAACACTTCTGCTCTGCAAGCATCCTCACAGGGTTGTGGACAGATGATGGGCATTCGCCCATGTTGGCTCTCGGCCTGGAAGAAGAACAGAGCACCGGATTGCCGCTGAAGACCTCCACTTTTGCGGTTGAGGTGATTGGCAGTTTCTTCTGGCAGGACTCGATCCGGGACAAAAAGGCTTCACATAAGGCATCAAAAGCCGCATGGAACTTTGCTTCCCAATGGGACAATAAGTGCTCGGTCAGTACGGCCATCTAGGGTATGCCCATGCTTGTCAGGCAGAATGCAAATGACTTTGCCTTTGAAGACCGGGTGCTTGTTCTGGTGGGAAACAAGTTATTCCCCACCAGTCTGGGGGGGGGGGGATGATGGAGCTTTAGAGAGGCTTTAATGAGCAGGGCTCTCCAGACCAGGAGATTGGCCGATTCTCCTAGTCGCCTGTCGCACAAGGCCGGAAGGCTAAACCCAGGTGAAAGTCTGTCAGATCAGAACACTCCATGAGTATAACATAGAAAAGCAATTTCAGCCATGGTTTAGAGTGTGAAGAGCCAAAACTATACTGAGACGCACCCGGACTCCTTGATGTCAGGCCCCGCCCCCTTGCCTGAGTTTTATATTTAAAAGCAACACTAAGTAAATCCTAAATGTGTTGTACAAAAGAAAGTTTTAACTTTTTAACCTTTCACTGTCTGTCAGTGCACACAACCTTATACATGTACCCTCTTATTTCCACCTTCCTATCATATTCACCCTGCACCCAGTGTCTACCTATCTTCTTTAATCTTTTTTACATGATGAAGAGGCAAAAGGGATTTTACAAATGTATTTACTTCTGCACTCTCTTAAAAGAAAAACAAAATTTTAACCAAGGAAAGGTATAGTTTTATTCTTATAAATTTTTGATATGCAAAATTATATTTTTTAGCTTTTTTTGTTAACCTGGGGTAATAATGAGCAAAAAAAAAAAAAAAAGATTAGCAACATGCCAGAGGGATATAGAGGGGTGCAAGAAAAGAACATTTCAGAAGGATACTAAAGATCACGCCAAAGACCAAGTATACAAGTAGTAATACAGAAAGGAGTTATTTTAGATATATCAGAGGCATACTTATCACACAATGAATGGCTTAAATGGAAGTTCCATCTCCATCATCCTCTATCCAATAGTTCTCCTTTTTAGAGAAGGAGAGCTATTGGAGGGGGTGTTACAAGCCAGGAAGGAGGGGCTTACAAAAGGAAGTACACAAGAGGAATTGGAAGGGAAACTTTGACACATGAGAACAATAGTATGATACACAATATTTCAGACACATCTTTAACTGAAGAAAAGATCACAACTTTGAATAGAGGGTTATCTTTTGTACCTACACCTAGACAGAGTGACAATAATATAACATTTGTCTGTATACGCTGTTATTTTTTTTGCTTTTTAAATTAGTATTATGTAAAAAAAAGCATGCACAGTATTAAATGAGGACGTACAATATTTTATTGGAAAGGTGTTACATTTATTTTTAAAGAAGAGACAACGTTACTGTAAAGATACAGTGCTTTGCAAATTCAGTAAGATCAAAAGAAACCAGAAATAACTTAAGTGTTATTGACCAGGAAGTAACATGCAGCACTATTCAATTCAACCATTATACAGCCAGGTAGACAGTCATTGCATATTATCACTAGTATGGTCATACATTACGTCTCAGGTATAGAATTTGAGTTCTCCAACTTTAATTGCTATGTCATTCATTTGAGAAGTAGTATCCATGGATCACAGATCTAAAGATGTACTGCAAGCATGTCAAACCCAAAGGCTGGCACGGGTCACATAAACAAGGTTTAAGTTTATGGGGCCTGCAAAAACAAACAAGCCTTTAATTTTCATAGAAACATAGGTACAGTATAAAAAAAAACAGCATCCCCCTCTACTAAATCCCAGTCGCCCCTCTGTACTAAATCCCAGTCCCCTCTCTGTACTAAATACTAGTCCGATTTCTGTACTAATTCACAGTCCCCCCTCTACTAAATCCCAGTCCCCTCTCTGTACTAAATACCAGTCCCCCCTCTGTACTAATTCACAGTCCCCCCCTCTACTAGATCCCAGTCCCCTCTCTGTACTAAATACCAGTCCCCCCTCTGTACTAATTCACAGTCTCCCCCTCTGTACTAAATTCCAGCAACCCCCTATAGTAAACTCCAGCCCTTGTTTAAAAAAAACAAAAAAACAATATTAGCCAACAAGCAGACTCCACTCACATTGCCGCTGCCAGTATGCGACTGCGGAGTCCAGCCTCTGGTATACCCCCAATGGCGCCGTCCGCATCCTGTGCCAAATGGATCATCCTGCTACGCCTTGAAAACCTGTGAAGGTGGAGCACATTAACGTCACGTTAGAATGTGGCGTTGTGTGCCCCGCCAGGTTCTCCACTGTCCAGCTTCGGCCATCACAACACTGACCAACACACTGACAGACACACACACTTTCTGACATACACACACACAGTCTCTGACAGACACAAACACACACACACACACTGACAGACAGACAGACACAAACAGACACACACACACAGTGACAGACACACACAGTCACACACACAGTGACAGACACACACAGTGAAAGTCACACACAGTGACCGTCATATACACAGTGACAGTCACACACACAGTGACAATCACACACACTGACAGTCACACACACACAGTTCAACATTTTTGCACACACTTAGATCATTTTATTCATTGTTCCCTACCTTTAGGAGCTGGTGTGGGACCTCTCCCTGATCTTCTCTTGGGAGCTCAGTCTTCTGGCTCCTCACTGCTCCCGCACACGCAGTTTAATGATGCCAGGTGCCGGAATATGACATCATACTCCGGCGCCCGGCTTCACTTCAGACAGCGCGTGCGAGGGAGCAGTGAGGAGCAAGAAGGCAAGGTCTCACTGCCGCCAGAGACCTCTCCCCCATATGCCATTGTCTAAATAATTTATAGTTATATAAGTTGCATGTGAGAGTCTTTAAGGAGAATCTAAGCAGAGTAAGTATTTTCCCCCACTCTTCCTGGGTCAACTAGATGTCCAATCCCCTAGTCCATATTTTAATGCATAGCCTTGTTGAAGAGGCCTCTTGAAGTAATACATAAAGTACAGTAACCTGGTGATTAGCTGGTTTCTGAGCAGAAGTGACTTTTTCAAATATCGTCATCTCCAGTTGCGGATTCAGGTTATGAAGTGAAGATTTTAGAACGCGAGTCATTTGGAAGTATTGAAATTTACAAGTTAAGATTGTTGGCGAGAGGGAAATAGCTCTCATAGCGGAGCAATGGAGGTTTGTCTAATAAGGTCAGACAGATTTAAATACAGGCTCATTTGGGGGGGTGTATACATGTTAGTCTTAGGGGAAATAGTGGTTCATGCAAAATCAGGTCTAGCGGAGACATCGGGAATGATTGGTCCTGCTTGCATCTATATTTCTTCCACAATTGGAGTTTTGATATCAGGAGCCTTCATAAGCTCTAATTTTGGAAATTTAGGTGGACCGCTGTATTGTTATTAATGCTCTTGCTGGATATGTTCCATATTTGTTACCCTGTGTGTAGTATATGTTTTTAGCTATTAGTAATAAGGAGCATTTTGCATGCATTGTTAAAAGTTCTTTCAATTCTGATCTTGCCTATTCCAATAATTGTTAATGGTCTATGCAGTGTAGATGCTGGTGCTAAGTACATAAGTAAAGGCATGTGATTTTTGAACAAAAATTAGCTGCCTGGTCGAGTTGTCAGAAAGAAGCCTTTACTGCGCCAATGCCACAAAAGCACGGTTACAATATGCCCGACAGCACCTTGACACGCCTCACAGTTTCTGGCACACTGTAAACTGTAACTTTAGAGTGACAAGACCAAAATTGAGCTTTGTGGTCACAGCCACAAGCGCTATTTTTGGCGAGGGGTTAACACGGCCTATATTTAAAAGAATACCATCCCCACTGTGAAGCATGGTGGTAGCTCACTGATGTTATTGGTGGTGTGTGAGCTCTAAAGGCAATGGGGATCTTGTGAAAATTGATGGCAAGATGAATGTAGCATGTTATTAGAAAATACTGGGAGACGATTTGCATTCTTCTGCACGAAGACTGTGCATGGGACGCTCTTGGACTTTCCAGCTTGACAATGACCCTAAGTACAAGGCCAAATTAACTTTCCAGTTGTTATAGCAGAAGAAGGTGACAGTTCTGGGGTTGCCATTACAGTCTCCTGACTTTAATATCATTGAGCCACTCTGGGGAGATCTCAAACATGCGGTTCATGCAAGACGATCAAAGACTTTGCATGACCTGGAGGCATTATGCAAAGATGAATGGGCAACTATACTTGCTGCAAGAATTAGGGGCATCATAGACATCTATAACAAAAGACTGCTTGCTGTCATTGATGCAAAAAGGGGCAATACACAGTATTAAGAACTAAGGGTATGCAGACTTTTGAACAGGGGTCATTTAATTTGTTTTCTTTGTTGCCTTGTTTTTTTTTATGATTGTGCCATTCTGTTATAACCTACAGTTGAATATGACTCCCATAAGAAATCAAATAAATGTGTTTTGCCTGCTCACTCATGTTTTCTTTAAATATGGACATATATTATCAATTCTCCAAAGGTATGCAAACTTTTGAGCACAACTGTAATTTCAGGAACTATTACTCTACAGAGAGGGTTGTGGACACATGGGATAGCCTTCCAGCTGAAGTGGTCGAGTTTAACACAGTGAAGGAGTTTAAGCATGAATGGGATAGGCATAAGGCTATCCTAGACTTAACATAAGGCCTGGGACTAATGAAACAATTTAGAATGGTTCTTATCTGCCTTCACATTCTATTTTTCTATGTAATTTATTATTTGTTTCATTCTTGTTTACTAATTTAAGATGCAGCACAAATGTTTACTCCAGATAGATGTTATATTCCTAGACAAACATAAACATATTTGCCTCCTCTATCATTGTAAAAGTATTAGGGAAACTATGAGGTTTTATTAAACAACTACCAGTAAGAATGGCATATTTGCTAAGTATTACATGACTTCAAAGACACATATGGAGTCGTGTTTATTTTGCATTGGCTCTAGGGAAGGTGAAATCCTTTTGGATTGTTCTGAGTTGTCATACCAGCTGTCATGCAAGTCTCTAGTGCCAGAACAAACCATAATACTGCAACATTACAGGCATCAGGGTCATTGAATCAATCTTCATGCATGCCCAAGCTT